TTTAGGGTTTTAGGGTTCAGGGTACGGCATATGGGAAATTCTCAAACTTAGAGCTGTCTTTCTGGAGCACAGTAGACACCCTCCGCAGTCACTGATTCCTGTCGGTGTATCAAGAGACCCTTAGATGTGTCTTAATCCACGCTTGGGCCCCCTTACAACTTAGATGTAGAATTCGTGGATTCGGGTTGCTCTTGTTTGTGGGCTTGCCTCAAAGCAGAGATTCAACTTGGTTCACTTCAAATCGCCAGCGAATGAAACGTTAAGGTCTTGAATCTAAGCTCGAAGCTCAAAGACCTGTAAACTTAAATCCCGGAGCTGCGAACCTTGAAGCTTGATATGTTTTTGTTGCCTACTTGCATGGGTGTGAATATGCATGTGTACAACAACATGTGTGCAAGAATGTAAGTTGTCCTCGTTTCAGCGAGCTGTGGTACTTACATGCACCCACTTGCAGAATCTTGCTTTTTCCTGTACTGAAATGTCGCAATTTGGAGCCCTTGAACAGTCTCTTAACATGGTGATGCATCCAGACCTGAAACCCTATACGCTATACCCATATACCCGAACCCTAAAGCCTATAACTATAACCAAAATCCTAATTGGGTTTCAATGTCCTCTTAAAGCTCCACGTACAAAGGTTGCCCTCGGCTTGTCGCCCATGACGACGGCGACCATCACAGCAACCGACACTTGCTTTGTGCAGGCGTGCGGTGGGGGTCTGCCTGTGGAGACGCCATGGAATTCCATTGAAGGAAGGTTTCTTTTTTCTATTTCGTTGTGCAGTTTATTTTTTTCTGCAACTTTAGGGTTTTGGAGCCTCGGGTTTCTGGGTTTGAGAGTGATTAGGAATTCACATATACTCTCATCTCACTGAATGTCGACGGGCTTTGCTTGTTAGGACATTCAATCTGCCGGTGAAAAACTAGACTCACAATCAAATTACATGGCACGTTGCACAAGATGCACAACAGGAACGATTGGAAGCCCAAAAATTAAATTAAACCAAAGGACACCTTCAGAAGATCCTGTATAGACTACTTATGTGGAATCTGTCTAAGTTCAGCACGCTACCTGTTCCCATATTTCAGTTTCTATTGTGAAGCAGTTGCCTCATCTTGGTAACTAACAGCATTCCTCCACGAAGCTGCTAGGAGCTGCACTCGAAGATCTTGCTCCCTGCCTTGGAGAAGTTCCCGGAAGAGAGGCAGAAGCTGAGGCAGCATGGGTTCCCTCCTGCATCTTCCGCTTTGGTTGCTACAGGGTTTTGGTTTCGAGGTTTTTGGTGATGGTTTAGGGTCTTGAGTTTTGGCTTAGAGCTGACCTCAATGAAACCTAGGATTTTTCCCCCATTCTCCATTAAGCTCCAGGAACAAAAGGCCTGAATGAGTAGATTTTCTTGTGGGGCGTGCTATCGTGTAGTCACAGGCGGGAATGTGTTGATTTCTTTCCAGGCTCCAGGGAAATCTTTCAGAGGATGTCAGAGGGCTTATACTTGGATGGTGGAGGGTTTGCCTGTTTTTCGGAAAAAGAGGTTTTAATGTTTTTGCTGCTCATTGACTACTGCGCTGCAGCCGTTCCTGAACTTGCTACTTCCCATAGGTATGTTGCATAGGTCTTTGTAGCGTGCTTTGTAGGGAGTTTTGGGGATACATCTTGTCAGAATATTGAAGTCAGGGACGTCTGAATGTCAGCAAAAAAGCACAATTGCCACGCACACTTTTCAGGGTCCTCTCTTTTCCTTGACAAGACGATACCAGCAAACTGCCAGCTAGCACAAAATGAAGCATACAGTTTTGTGATAGTAGCAAAGAATACCAATGCAAAGGCAGCTGGCTGCGCTTCGCATGGAGTGGAGGCGGCTGTTCTGGTTCTGTGTTGAGCTGAACATTTAAATCCTCAGAATCAAAGTAAGGAAGCCTGCGTCTCAACATCTAATGGCAAATCTGCTTTGCTGGCTTTGCTCAGCTACCTCTAGGGCCAATCCTTCCACATCCTTCCATGAAAGCTACTGCCTGTGGTAGGGGTCTATCATGGTCTATCAATCCTCATCCCTTGGGTGGTTGAGTTCCAGATTTTGGTCACAGGCTGGTATGGCATTTGCTTCGGGACAGGTATGCCCTGCACGACCTGCAAAACTTTGATTGGCCCGGGACCTAGCCAACTCCCATGTGCTCGAATGATGCACCTTGCCATACCTAGTTGATTTCCAAATGAAACAGGACTCGTAGAAAGAAACCAGGGTACCCTATATCGACCCGAAAGTATTCTAGTCCTTTTTATAGGGCCTCCAAAAAGTACCCCGCAATTTTGGGAAACCCCTAAACCCAAA